GACCGGATCCCACGCAACAGTCTGTGGACATGCCTACGTACGGGGTTGATGGCAAGTTGCTGAGGGCCATCCAGTCATTGTGTTCTGATAGCAGGTGCTGTGTCAGAGTTAATGGCGTTAAGTCGAAACCATTTCCAACGTTCGCACTGGTCTCGGCCCAAGGCTGCGTCCTGTCCCCTATCCTGTTTGTGTTGTACATGGATAGAATAGTCAGGCGCTGCCAAAGTGATGAGGGTGGCTCAAAAGGAGAACCGGTTGAGGGACCGTGTTAAAGGACCGAGAGGAGAACAGTGTTTCGCTACTTAGACCGTAACATGATCACTGCTAGGCCTGATTCAAACCCATCTATCGAAGAATTGGCCCTGAATCAAAACAATGAAGTAAATTTTCACTTGCATATTAATTTTCGCTTCAACGGAATGGTCATCGACTCCGCTGTAAATCAGATGTTCTGTGTTTTACCTAATTAAAACTGCACCTCGTGGATGGCTTCCTGTCGTCTTTCGCAGGCATACGATTACTGTAAACGGTACGGGTTCCGAGAAAGATGAACAAGGGAAAGGTCAGCGCGAATTGCTGTCCGCTTGAAGCTGCAGCCGATTATGATTTATTCTGTTCCGCATTGAAATATGGATTAAGATATGCATGAAAAATATTTTGAAGTCAGCTTGAAGCTACTTTACACCACAGCGCGAGACTTTCAGAGAGTTTAAACAGTGAGATTATGCTGTTGCATTTATTACGCTGCTACGACTGTTTCCCAACCGATAATTACAATCAAAAGTACAGAGCGACTGTTTTTACAACTTTCTAAGAGTTTAGTCAATGTTCTGCGACTTAATCAAGTAAGTAAAAATATATGATAATCTTTAGCTTCCACTTCGGAATGTGCAGCATTACGTTTGTGTTCTGTTCTGTCATCTTCTTCTGAAACCAGCGTAGCTTAAACAACAGACATCCATGATTCATGATGTCTGATCATTAGGAAATGTAGCCCAGATTCGTGTTAGGCAGCCTTCGTCGCGGCACAAGGTACAAGCGAGAAAAGTTTTGAATGTATTTTCATTTTATTAAACCAAGCCAATTGTTGGTCTCTGAGTTCATCAGATAGTTTTCTGAGATAAATTAACGTTAGCAACTGCTCATTCGTGACTCGGCGGTAGCATCGCACTTTGAGGACAGTGCGTAAGCAACAATTTTGAAGGCTATGTAGACTAGCTTCATGACCGCAAATGTTTTGAGACTGTGCATGAGTTCAACGTAAACTACTGCTTTCACAATGGTAATCTTCGTGCCTTTCTTTTAATCGAACCCTTTCATATATTGAGTTTGCCGCAATTCCCTGATAATATTATAGTACACTTCAGCATTCATTTCAGAATCGACGCCGCCATCCTTTTCAACAGAGTTTCAAGGTACTTGAAATGGTCCAGTCATTTCGCACATCGTAACACAATTCCACAATACCTTTGAACCGTCGGTCGTGATGGGTACTCTCATAATCTTCATGTTTCGGCGTTCACTTGTAACCCTACTCTCATTGAGTACTTCAAGTAGGCCACTTGAGGAGTCACTCACTAACAGGACATCATCGGCATGCTCAAGCTCCATTAGAAATACCACCGGGTACAACGAGGTACGACTGATTATCAATTTCTTGTTGTTATTCGGGACGACGTGCATCCGCATAACCTATTCCGCCATTATGTTCAAGCAAAGGAGAAAGCACCATGTCTTAGCCAACTCCACTGGTAATGTTGGACTAGTTTGATACAAATCCTTCAGAAGGCCCCGTTTAGTCCTCTCGTACAAAGCCTTATTCAGGTTTACCATCGCCTACGGAACCCCGCATCCCGTCCGCCGTATCCGCAGTACTTTGAGCTT